GCTATTGGATTAAATTTGCTAAGATTTTGTTGAGGAATTTTGCATCAGTGTTCATCAGGGAAATTGGTCTGAAATTTTCTTTTCTAAATCTCTCCCGCACAGCAGAGCCTGGCAAGCTCCCTGTGGGGTATTCGATATGCCAAAAACATTAATAACAGGTCTCAAAATGGAGATGTTACTGGTGCCTGCTCGAGCAAATCGATGAACAATGGGAGGACTGTGCTATAGTGCTACATAGTGTCTCTATCTGCTTTGGGTATTAGTGTAATGTTAGCGTCAGAGAATCTGTTAGGAAGGATTCCTTTTTCTTCAATACTTTGGAAGAACTAAATATACAGATAATATATTTTTGAAAGTTTGATAGAACTCACCAGTGAACCCATCTGGTCCTAGACCTTGTATTGGGGAAGATAGATTCTTGATTACTTTTTCAATTTTTTCACTTAAAATTGGCCTGTTCAGTTTTCTACTTCTCTTCACTCAGTTTGGGATATTACATGATTCTGAAAATCCATTAATTTCTTTTAGGTTCTCCAGCAGAACAGTGTAAATTGGTTTTTAGTAGTTTCTCAAAATATTTTGAATTTCTGCAGGTTCTGTTGTAATTTCTCTCTTCCATCATTGATCTGAATTATTTTTTAATATTAGATGAATAGATCTGATTTATTTATACATATTCTATTTTTTACCTCTGTGAGTCTAGCCAGAAAGTTGCTTATACTTTTGTTGTTCATTTCCTGTTGTTTTAAAAATAAATTTTATTAAAACACTATGACTTTCAAAGTTATTCAGAGTCGAGTTTTAGACATACAATATTGTAGCACTGATCCCACCACCAGTGTCACCTTCCCTCCATGAACATTCCCAGATTACATCCCATATCTCCCACCCCATCCCTGCCAGCCCTCTTGACAGGTTTATTTCTAAGTTTGGTTGTTAAAGTTTGGGTCTCTTTATTTCAGTGTGGTTGACTATTTGGTTGGATATTTGTCTTTGTCAATCCTTAACATCACCTTTTTACCTTAATCCCCTGACCTGCCTCCCACTGCTTCTCACCTGTCTCTTCTCACCCTCCCCTCCTCTCTTTCTTTCTGTTTCCTCTCTATATACTGAAGCTAAGGATGATCTGGGCATCCTGCATTTAAAACATCGCCTTCCCTCATCCAGTTATTTTAAATACCACATATAAGTGGCATTATTCTGTGTTTATCCTTCTTCTGTCTTACTTCATTTACATTTAACATGATGTCTCCTAGTTCCATCCATGTTGCCACAAATTGCTTGATTTCATCATTCCTTGGAGCTGTGTAGTATTCTATTGTGTATATACACTACTTCTTCATAATTACTTATCTGTCATTGGACATCTGGGTTGATTCCAAATCTTAGATATTGTACTGAGTGTTGCAATAAATAATGATGTGCACACACCTTTTGAATGAATGTTTTTTTTTTTCTGGCAACAGATACCCAAAAGTGGAATTGTTGTGTCTTATGGGAGCTCAATTCTAAGTTTACTGAAACCCTTTACATTGTATTCCATAGGGGTTGGACCTGGGCTGGATTGATAGCACAGCGGGTAGGGCATTTGCCTTGCATACAGACGATCAGGTTTGATTTCTCTGCCCCTCTTGGAGAGCCCGGCAAGCTACTGAGAGCATCTCACCTGCCCAGAAAAGCCTGGCAAGCTACCCGTGACGTATTCAATATGCCAAAAACAGTAACATCAAGTCTCACAACTTGTTGTGAGACATTACTGGTGCCTGCTCGAGCAAATCGATGAACAACAGGACCACAGTGACAGTGACAGTGACAGGGTTGGACCAGACAATATTCCCACTAGCAGTGGATCAGTGTTTCTTTTTCACTACATCCCCACTAACAGAGATAGTTGATAGTTTTTTTAATATGCCATTCTCTCTGGTATAAGATGATATCTCATTGTTGTCTTAATTTGGGTTTTCAGAATAATAAGTAGTGATGATGAGCATTTTTACATGTGCCTGTTGACCTTCCTCAGAGAAGTATCTGTTCATTTTCTCTCCCCATTTTTTTGATGGCGCTTATAAATTTTGGAGTTGATCTTTTTTGAGTACTTTATATACTGGATATCAACATTTTATCTGAAGTGTTGAGTGCAAATATTTTATCCCACTGTTCTCATTTAGTTTTAGTCTGTGTTTCTTTTGCCATGCAGAAACTTTTTAGTCAGTTGTAGGCCCATTTGTTTAGTTTTGATTCTGTAGCATTTGCCAATGGCATTGTATCATTGAAGGCTCCTTTGAAGTCTAGGTCTTGGAGCCTTCTGCCTATATTTTTCTCCATATACTTTATAGATTCAGGTCTTATCTCAAAGTCTTTGATCCACTTTGAGTTGACTTTTGTATAAGATGTGAGACATGAATTCAACTATAATTTCTTGCATGTGATTATCCAATTCTCCCAACACCATTTGTTTAAAAGCCAGTTTTTACTCCATTTTATGCTCTTAGTCCCTTTTCCAAAAATTAGCTCACCACATATATGGGGATTTATCCTTGCAGATTATATTCTAACCCATTGGTTAGAGTCTTTCTATATTCCACTACCACTGTTTTGATTACTATGGCTTTATAGTACAGATTTAGGCTAGGTAATGAGTATGGTTTTGTCTCTCCTGAGTCTTTTGTGATTCAAAACAGACTGCTTTGTAATTGACTGTCTTAATTCCTTGGAAAAATGTTGTTTGAGTTTGGCTATGGATTGCATTGAATCTATATAATAGTTTAGGTAAGATGGTCATTTTGACAGTATTGATTTTTTTCGTTCCAAGAGCATGGAATGCTTTTCCATTTCCTATGATCTTCATTTTCTTTCTTGAGGGTTTTGAAATTTTATGGTATAGGTCTCACCTCTTCTGTTATGTTGATTCCTAGGTACTTGATCTTTTGGACACTACCTTAAATAGATCTTCGATCTCTTTCTCCTCTAATTCATTATTTGTAAATAAGAATGCAACTGATTTTTGTGTATTGACTTGTAGCTAGCCACTTTGATTATTTATTGTCTCTAGGAGCATTTTATTAGGATCTTCCATGTTTATCATCATGTCACCTGCAAATAGAGATGATAATTTAACTTTCTCTTTTTGAATTTGTATCCTTTTTGGTTTCCTTTTCTTTCTTGATTGCTGTGCTTCTAATAGAATGTTGAATAAGAGTGGGGACAATGGATGTCCTTGTCTTGTGCCTGAGCACAGTGTGAATGCTTTCAGTTTTTTACCATTAAGAATAATACTGGCTATGGGATTTCTATAGATCTTGATCAAGATTTCTTCCACTCCTATTTTATTGATGGTTTTTATCATGAATGGGTGTTGAATCCTGCAAAAGCTTTCTATGCTTCAATTGATATATTCATAAGATTTTTATCTTTCCTTTTACTGATGTGATATATTATGTTAATTGATTTGTGTATATTGAACCATCCTTGCATCCCTGTGATGAATCCCCCTTGATCATGGTGCATGAATTTTTTGATGTATTGTTTAAAAATTTTTAAGAACATTTTTATTTTATTTTTAAAAAAATTTTTATTAGTGAAACACCATGAGCTACAGTTGTAGACTTACAAGTTTTTGTGCTTGGGTTTCAGTTATACAATGATCGAGTACCCAACCCTCCACCAGTGCCCCTTCTCCACCACCAATGATCCCAGTATCTCTACCACCTTCCCCCACCCCCCCATCCCATCCCGCCTCTGTGGCAGGGCATTCTGTTTTGTTTTAGAACATTTTTAAAGTTTTTAATTAAATCATTAAAATTATTAAAGAATTGTGATTTACAGAGTTATTATTAGTTGAGTTATGGAAATACAATGTTCCAGTGCCAAACAGGAAAATCTGTAAAATCTCACAAAAATACAGATAAATAAGGAAACTATAGCTATATATTTATAAGGTTCAATTTATGCATCATGCACAATATTTGAAAAAGATTTTTGCTTATAGACATTTGCAGTGGTAAAATTGGATCAGAGAGATAGTACAGTGAGTAAGGCACTTTCTTGTACACAGCTGATCCTGGTTTGATCTCCAGCACCCAATCTAGCCCCCCTAACTTCTGAATGATCCTTGAGTCCAGAACCATGAGCACAAAGCCTGCAGAAGCCCTGAGCACAGGTGGATGTGGCTCCCCAAATAAGTAAATTGATACAAATAAAATGTATGCTACTGACTAATGGGTTTTCAAGAAATGGAAAGAAGCTGAGATTTTTTTTTTTTCATTTTGGGGCCACATACAATGGTGCTCAGAACTTATTCCTGACTCTGCATGAACCATGTATGGTTCCCTCGTAGAACCTGGAATGTGCCCTGCATAAGGCAAGCACCTTACCCACAGTTTTATCTCCTGTGTCCTAAGTGTTTGAGATTTTTTTACTGTCTTGCAAACTAGAAAGTTGTAGCTTTATACTGGTAGAATATTTAAGACTTCTGGGTCTGAGACAAAGAAAAATTTCTTTTTTGCAGCAATAGAAGCTAGACTATCAGCCTTTTGGTGTGTAGGAGTTAGGCTGTCAATCTTTTTGTGTGTATGGGGGTATAATTTCCTAAATGCAAATTAGTGATGTAAACAAGATAACAAGATGAAAGGTTTAAATTACTTAGAACTAAGTTTAAATATTGTTATATTGAAGTGTTCAATTTATAATTTAAGAAACTTCTGAAATTTTATGTTATTGAAAATAAAATAGGAACTTTAATTTAGATCACTTTGCCATTTTGAAGCACTTAGGGGAAACTCATAAAATTTTGAATAGAAAAGTAAAAAAGGCCCTCCCGTTGTTCATCAATTTGCTCAAGCGGGCCCAGTAACATCTCCATTGGAGATTTTTGTTGTTACTGTGTTTGACATATCGAATACATCATGGGTGGCTTGCCAGGCTCTGCCGTGTGGGCGAGATACTCTCGGTAGCTTGCCGGGCTCTCCGAGAGGGGCGGAGGAATCGAACTCGGGTCGGCCATGTTGGCTGCGTGCAAGGCAAACGCCCTACCGCTGTGCTACGAATTTAAGCTTTTAACTAATTAACAATATTTCTTAGCTGTTTAACCCATATGGGGATAATGTGTTGGTTTTGTTTTTTATGGCCATACCTACTAGTATTCAGAGGCTACTTCTGCTCTGTGCTCAGAAGTTACCTCAGGGTTGTGCTCAAGGGACCATATGTGGTCCTGGAGATTTCAAGCCATTCAGGAGCATGCAAAGTAAAAGTTTATTACACCAAACCAAAGTGAACCATTCTGAGAGAACCACCGGCTCCAATTTCCTGAAAGTAAACAAATGAAAACAATTAAACTTAATATCATGTGTAGATTAAATGAATTGACTTACTATTATCTTTAATATTTATATTCATATTTCTAAAGCAGTGAAAATATTAAGTAATTCATTTTTGACAATAAAAATAGTTTAAAATACATTGTATATGTGGAACCATGGCAACTATTTATCTTTCTGTTAACATTTTGACAGAATATTTATAAAAATCAGCCAGGGGAAATAACAAGTGAGTCATAAAAAGACATGGATGGTAGCATACAACACATATTAAATTTGGAGACTTCTGCATCTGAACTTTCCTACAATAAAAAGTTGCAAACTGTGGGTCATCATTTGTGATACTGCATATTTGATTTTATAATAGTAACTGTCCTAAAAGTTGTTATATAAATAAATTATATAAATTTAAAAAATTAAATTATATTCCTAGTGTTCACTAAGTATTTGATAGTGCCCTTTGATGTTATAGTTCATGGAAAAGATCATGGTTTTTAAGTATTTTGTCCCTAGTCCCTTTTTAATATTTTATGAAGCTGCAAAGAGATATGAGAAAGAACCTTATCTATTCTATTTCATTCTTTTATACCTTCTTCATGGAGAAGTTCTATAAAAAAGACCACACCTTCTACAAGATCATTGTTGGTGATTTTAATACCAAGATGGGACCGAGAAGATCGACCAAAGAACTTCACATCGGGACCCATGGCCTAGAGTGGAACGAACAGGATGAGAGATTGTCTGAGTTCATCAATGGACTAAGACTGTCTGTGGTAACTCACAGTTCCAGAAGGCCGAATCTAAACGTTGGACATGGGAGTCTTCCAGTGCCAGTGGACGTTCCACAATGAAATTGACCACATCATATTCAATCCACAGTTTTGCCTGACTGATGTTGCTGTTGTCCCAAAATTCCAAGTGGGATAGGACCACCGTCTCCTTCATGCAAAATTCTACTTCACAGAGTGGGGAGAAAGGGCTGCAAAGTTTTAAGAGAACTCCCAGAACAACCACCACCTGGGAGCTCTTTGGCACTATTGCTGCAACATGAGAAGATGCTGTCGTTGACAGCATTGACAAGGAATATGATCGAATGGTTCAGCACCTCCATGACTGCACGAGCAATGCCGAAAGTGGGAAAGCCACAAACAGATGCCTGTCTTTGGAAACTCTTGAGCTCATTCGCCAATGTGGTTTGGTGCGAGGCTCAGGCAATCACAAGCTAACTTCTGAGCTTGCAAAGCTGTACAGAGAAGTGATAAAGGAAGACCTCAAAGAGAGAAGAGCAGCAGTGTTGGCTGATATGGCAGAAGCCGGGAAAAATATTTGCAATGTCCGCCTGTTCTTCGTCAACTACAAGACCAGGATGACTGCTCTCCAACATCCTGATGGATCTATCACATCTTCCAGAAGGGCAATGGAGATGATTATCCACGACTTCTAATGGAATCTCTTCTATAGCCACGTCCACCTTCCCAGATTGGTATCTGCATTTGTGCCGCTTGGCTAATTCTGCAGGATGGGTATGTCATTCCCAGTGTTCTCCCTTCAGAAATCCAACACGCTATGTCATTGGTAAAGAAGGGTATAGCACCCGGTTCAGACAAGGTCAGACCCGAACACCTGAAGAATCTTCCGCTAGTATACGTTAATACACTTGCTCGGCTCTTCACAAACTACCTGTCTGAATGCAAGGTTCTGTCACAGTGGAAAACAGCAGGACCATTCTGTTGTACAAGAAGGGAGACATCCACAACATTGGTAACTATTGCCCAATCTACCTTTTGTCCATGGTCTAGAAGTTATTCACTCGAGTCATCCTGAATAGGATTGGCAGAACACTAGATGAAGGGCAACCATGCAAACAAGCCAGGTTCTGAAAAGGATTCAGCACGATTGACCATATCCACACGGTGACCAAGCTCACTGAGGTTTTGCGTGAGTTCCAAGATGCTGCTCTGTCTAACTTTCATTGATTTAAAGAAGGCTTTTGATTCTGTTGAGACTGAAGTAGTTATTGAAGCCCTAGCCAAACAGTGAGTTCAAACTCAGTACATCAGGATCCTCTGAGAGTTGTATTACTGTACTATACACCACCAGGATCTCACCATTCTACAAGGAAGTGATCATACATGTCAAGAGAGGGGTTCACGTTGCTGGCGCGGATGTGGCGAGAAAGGGACACTCCTTCACTGTTGGTGGGAATGCCGACTGGTTCAGCCCTTTTGGAAAACAGTATGGACGTTCCTCAAAAAATTAGAAATTGAGCTCCCATTTGACCCAGCGATACCACTCCTGGGAATATATCCCAGAGAGGCAAAAATGTGTAGCCGAAGTGACATCTGCACTTGTTTGTTCATTGCAGCACTCTTTACAGTAGCCAGAAACTGGAAGAGACCTGAGTGCCCAAGAACAGATGACTGGTTAAAGAAACTTTGGTACATCTACACAATGGAGTACTATGTGGCTCTTAGAAAAGATGAAGTCATGAACTTTACATACAAGTGGTACAATATGGAAAGTATCATGCTAAGCGAAATGAGTCAGAAAGAGAGGGATAGACATAGAAAGATAGCATTCATCTGGGGGATATAAAATAATAAAATATGAGATTAATACCCAAGAATAGCTGAGAGCAACACCAGGAGAATTACTCCATAACTTAGAGGCCAGCTGGGTATTCTAGGGGAAAGGACAATTCAGATAGAAAGGGGAACACCAAGTGGAAGGTGTTTGGAGGATCCTCCCAGGAGGGGAGATGCAGGTTGAAAGTAGACTGGACTGAACATGTTCACCACTCAATGCCTCATTGGCTGATCACAACACCCAGGAGGAGAGAGAAAACAAAAGGGAATGCCGTGCTACAGTGGCAGGGGGGGATGGGGGGATGGGAGGATGGGGGGGAGGGATATTATCCTGGTGGTGGAAAATGGGCACTGGTGGAGGGATGGGTATATGATCGTGGTATGACCGAGATCCAAGCACAAAAATTTGTAAATCTACAACTGTACCTCATGGTGTTTCACTAATAAAAAAAAAAAAGAGAGGGGTTCAGCAGGGTGATATCATTTCACTGAAACTCTTCCATGCCACCCTCAGAACGTTACGTGATGACTGGAATGGGAAGGGATGGGAGTGGAGATATATGGCCAGCAACTACACCACCTCTGCTTCGCTGATGACATCGTTCTAATAACACCAAACATTAGCCACGCGGCACAAATGCTGACCAACTTTGACTGTGAGTGTGGAAAGGTTGGACTACAGCTGAATTTCACCAAGACAATGTTCATGAAAAACAAACTAGTTCCTGACGTTCTATTTGCTCTCAACGGAATGTACATCTCCAATGCAGCAGCTATGTGTACCTGGGTCAAGAACTCAACATGACTAATGACTTGGCACCAGAACTGCGCAGGACGAAGAGAATGGTGTGGAATGCCTTCAAGAGTGTCAAAGAAGTTGTTAAGAGGATGAAGAACCTCCGGTACTGGGAACATCTTTTCGACTCCACCGTTCTTCCTGTACTAACATATGCCTCAGAGACCTGGGCCCTAAGAAAACAGGACGAGAATGCTACTTGGGTATCCCAAAGAGGAACTTAAAGAGCTATGCTTGGAATATCACATTTCACTCAAGTGAGAGAAGGAATCAGCAGTTCCAACCTCCATCGATGATCAAGAATCAAGGACACTGTCTAGAGTGCCAAGGCATCGAAAATCAAATGGGCTGAACACTAATGCGATTTAGAGATGACTGCTGGACTAGAGCTGTTACCAACTTGATTCCATGGGACATCAAAAGGATGTGTGGCCACCCACCTACAAGATGGTCAGACTTCATCAAATCCCTGAACAAACCATTTGAGGCTCTTTGTGTTCCTGGAGTGAGCAGATGCCATTGGGCTACACTAGCATGTAATAGGGATGAATGGAGACATTACTGGCGCCCACTTGAGCAAATCGATTTTCAATGGGATGACAAATGATACAAGTATGATAATACCTTCTCCCTTAACTCTTCAGGTATAGAAAACTTAAAAAAAATCTTCTTTAGTTTTTGGGTCACATCCAGTGGTTCTCAGGGTTTACTCTTTGTATCATTGTTGGTGAACTTATGGGACCATATGGTGTGCTGGCCCCAGATTGGCCACCTGTAAGACAAATGCCCTACCTGCTGTACTATCACTCTGGCCCCAGAAAAATAAAGGATTTTATGAAAGATCTGACATTAACTGTGTTTAAAGGTAAGACTAAAGATAAATTTTATTACTGAACAAACAATAAAATGAGGCATTTTTTAAAGTTTGGAGATAAGATACTTAGAGTTGAAATATTATAGAAGGAAAATGAAGACATGAATGATGGTTAATACTTAAACTAATAATATAATAGGAGACATTTATTAAAATTTATTTTAAAGTTATTCCTTGTTTTATTTTAAAGGTTATATTTACAGGGGATGGAAATAATTGCCTTGAATATTTGAAACCCTAAGTTTGATACCAGGCACTGTAAGAACAATAAAAAACCATGACATTATTAGTAAAAGAAGCTTTTCAGAAAGTCATTAAATTATGCATATTTTTTAAATTTTTGGGTCACACCTGATGATGCTCAGTTCTTACTCCTGACTCTGTGTTCAGGGGTCACTCCTGGCAGGCTCAGGGGATCATATGGGATTCTGGCAATTGAACCTGGGTCAGCTGCATGCAAGGCAAATGCCTTATCCTTTGTGTTATTGCTCTGGCCCAAACTTATGCAATTTTAAGCAGTTATATCTAAAAATGCACGTGGGTTGGCAAGTAAGGGAAATGTGTATATGCATGCTTGTGTTTGTGATTACATAAAACTTAAAAGAAAACATGAGAGAACAGGTGATAAGAAAGAGGAGTAATTAAGTGTATCTGGGGCTTGTGTTTGCAAATTCAGGGTTTTTATATAACATTCAGTTTAAAAATAAATATAACATTATAAGCTGGTATTAAAA